ACTGAAGGGGAATAAGTGACTGAATTGAAAGAAAGCTTGAGTGACAGAAGAAGGAGGCACTTGAGTGATAAAAGACAGCGTTCAGTAATGTGTGTGCGGTGAGGGGTCACTGCGAGTGCAGACGTATACGACTCCCTCAAGGCCTATAAGACACTCCGTCTCTATGATGGACAGTAACAGAGAGTATAAATCACAGCTGCCTACGGCGGCCTGTAAACACTGATCAAACACATGGCGGGAAATGAGACACGCTATAGTGTATGGCCGTGTCCAAATAACATACAGAGGTTTCAGTGTCAGTGTGCAATGTCTGCGTAACCTCATATATTCATTTGGTCAGTTTTTGTAGACAGACACAGACGTGTCCTTTGCCAGTAATGTTATTCTACAATCCTGTGAATGCAATTCAGTCAAAGGAAGTGGTTTAATTACATTTATTAATTTTTCCATTAAAAAATACTGATTGTAGTCCTTTAATGCTTGTTTGGCTATTTCAAAAGCTCATTTAAACTATACCATTAGATGTGATGTTTACGTTCCCTATCTGAAATCTCATTATAGGTGGCTTTAAATTTAATAAAGCTTTATTATCTTTGATAAGGCTCACGCAAAAACATGCATGACATTTAAAAACATACCTACATGAAAACAACAAATAGACACAAAAAAATCATCTAGTCTGCTAATAGCATTTAGAATTTTTTTTTTTTAACAGACTGTTTTTAACCATAAAAAAGCATTGCCTAACTGGGAAGCAAAGCAGTTGTTGCATGCGGACACAGCTTTGGAGATTATTTCAACTGCTATTGATTGTTTTAAAGGTGTATGCACCAAACTTATGCCTTGAAAATGAAACAAAGCTCCAAATGTAAATGGGTCACAGGTAGGGTTTTGACGGTGAGGAAATTTAACCTTTAAATTTAACACGTCGATTAACCGGTGGGTTAATCGACGTGTGACAACACCGGTAATACCGGTGTCACCGCAGGGGCGGGGCGTTCCCTATTTTCCTCGCTTTCCTTCGCTTTTAAATAGCTTGTAAAAGCGGCATGCCCATTTTACTTTCACTTTCAAATAGTGGCAATTCGGAGTAAAGCAATTGTTCGTATTTAGTTCGTTTGAATTTTCCCTCTTTTCCTTGCTTTCTTTTGCTTTTACATAGCTTAAAAGCATTTTACTTTCACTTTTGAATTAGCGGCAGTTCGGCATCAATTGCTTGAATGCAACAACAAAATACAACGTCAAACTCACTTTAGCGTATATATAAAACATAGAACTTTTATTAACAAAACAAATAAGAATACACCATGCTATAGGGCAAGCTATGCCTAATATAAAATAACAAATAACTTACATAAAGTTTAACAGGTATACAAAACTGGAAATAAGTAAACATGTATAATATATAACCAAATAAATAAGAAATGTTTATTAGCAAAACGAATGTCAAATAAAATAAATAAATGACCGTTTAAATAAAGTAAAAATCAGCAAACAATGTGGAACCAATTAAATAAGAAACAAATCACCTTAGATAAACGGCAAAAGTCAGCAGGCTTTTCAAAATCCCAAAATATTGCCAAACAGGCATTTTTGCATCTCGTTTCGAAACTAAATCATCCGCGATCGTTTTGTTTGTCTCACCTCACTCTTCTTGTCAGTCAGCTGGACTCATGCACTCTCCTCACTGGAGAAATGAAATCTGATCTGTGATGTGACTGCCGTTCGGCACGCTGCATTGAGCAGCCGCGTTCAGTTTTTAATTGTAGTATCTGTTCTTTTACTGAACTAATTGATTTTTATTACTATAAAAAAAATCAAAATGACGGTGGGGGTCGGTGACGGTGGGCAAGTGACATAACCGGTGTTGTGGCTTATATCACCGTCAACACCGTCTATCGCGGTGACTCGCCTAGTCACAGGTCAGTATTGACTAAAAAAAGATAAATGCAGGTAATAAGAAGCAACTAAAGCTAATAATCATGCATAGCTAAGTAAATAGTAATTTGTTGTTGATCTCAAAGGTCACATGTCCCATCAAACTCATCATTCACTTAGTAGAAGCCAGTTAAATTAAATTAAATTAAATTACAGATGGCAACATATAAAATGAAATGCTCTTAACCTCGATAAAAAATTAAGAAAACATCAAAAGTTTAAAAAACACAAATTAGTTGAATTTTTTGTTGCATTAGATGCAAAAAATACATTAATTAAATTTTTTTGGAGAATTATTGATTGCCGAAAGCATCACCAGATGTTTAGAAACCAAAGCTGACCATTTTTACAAGTATATATAAAATACAACATATTAAAAAATATACAACTTTAAACATATAAAACTTTAAAATTAGATTTTTATACTTATATATTACATGATATTTGTATTGTATAAAAATACATAAAAATAGAGTCTTTTCTAAAGTGAAAATGGTTGAGAGACACTGGTTTAAAGAATATCCTGATGGTAATGCATTGGGAGAAGAAGTGAGAGAAGAAACAGATTGTCTGAGGAAGACTGGAGGAGAAGATATGGGCTGGAATTCTATTGTTCAAGGGGTTTTTCTCTCACTCTGAGCTTTGTGTTCAGCTGACAGCTTATTGGAAATACTGGAGAGCATGTCAATCACAGACATACAGTGTGTGTGTGTGTGTGTGTGTGTGTGTGTGTGTGTGTGTGTGAATCCCTTTAGTGATCCAGCCTTCAATTCATACACTCCATACTGATTTTTCATACCTTCCTAACGAACGCTGTCACGTTCGTCTCTACAGCCATATTTATGACTATAGAGCATAGCATGAATATATTATACATATCACAGATACTGAGCATCACAGGTCTGTTTATGTCCAAACTTTAGTGATCCAGCCTTCAATTCATACACTCCATACTGATTTTTCATACCTTCCATATTTATGACTATAGAGCATAGCATGAATATATTATACATATCACAGATACTGAGCATCACAGGTCTGTTTATGTCCAAACTACACATCCTCTAAACGTTTGTGCACAAACTATTGTGTGTTACTGCACAGCTCTCAGGAAAACATCATTCATATCCCTCATATCACTCCACGGTCTCTTTAGTCACTCATAATTTAAAAAAAAATCTACTTAAATTAATATTTCATACCCATTTACTAATTCATTTCTAAAGATAATGTGCATTTTTCCATCAATATTGCAAAATATACCCCTCAGGATGATAAAGCTTGCGATATATAGTAAAAACGTCCATCACTTACATTTAGATTCATGCATTTAGTAGACGCTTTTATCCAAAGTGACTTTCAAAAGAGGAAGCTATTTATTCCTGATGCACAAAATTGACAATTGACAAAATTGACATTTATAAAAACTATTAAAAAAAATTTGCAAAAACAAAATGCAAGAACACATGCTGTGTGAACGCCCCCTTGCTATATCAGTGTCAGTGAATTTTGATAAAAGCAAAGCTGAAAAAACAAACAAAAAACCCACACATACTTCTGAATGCTTTCTTTTTTTTAATGCATGAACGCACTATTATTCAGTTTTAGTCTTATGCATTCGCGCATGCACAAAGATAGCCAATGAAAGATTGTGAAATATTATTCAACAAAGGGATGGCTGCTTTTTGCTCCATCTCTCTGGCTTTTTCTCTCTCTGTTGTTTTGTATATGTGGGTTTATTCTGAAGATCAAAGAGAGGAGAGATGGAGAATACTCTTATCTGTGCCGGACAGCAGCACTGTTTTACACAACACACACACACACACAATCATTTTAATAACTAGATTTCACCAAAAGTGAGGATGTTTGCTCATCAGTATTGTGGGCAGCTGCTAGCATCTTGCTGCCCATTTACTATGGTGTTCCATGGTTGCTAAGCTGTTGTAGGTGGTTGCTAGGTGGTTTCTTACTAGCCAAGATGACCTCAATATGAGGTTTGGTGATGATGTCAGCTTGACTAACATTATAAGTCAACTTCAAATAAATATTTTACATTACATTTAGTTATTTAACAGACGCTTTTATCCAAAGCGACTTACAAATGAGGACAACAGAAGCAATCAAATCCAACAAAAGATAATCAATATGTAAGTGCTGTACAAGCCTCGATCCTTCAGAAATCATTCTAATATGCTGATTTGCTACTTAATTATTATTAGGTCTCATGTATTAAGAATCTTATGTTCTTATTATTATCAATGCTGAAAACAGTTTTTGCTGCTTAAGAATTTTTTAGAAACCATTATGCATTTTTAGGATTCTTTGTTGAATGTTAAAAATAACTACATTTATTTGAAACAGAAATATTTTGTAATATTATAAAACATCTTGTAATATTATAAATGTAATGCATCCTTGCTGAATAAAAAGTTTTTTTTTTTTTTTTTATGTTTCCGCAAAAAATGTTAGGTAGCAAAAATTGTTTTCAACATTGATAATAATATGCTTCTTTGAGCAGCAAATCAGCATATTAGAATGATTTCCGAAGGATCATGTGACACTGAAGACTGGAGTAATGATGCTGAAAATTCTTAACATATACATTTTAACATATAATTACAGTAAAAACAGTTACTTTAAATTGTAATAATATTTCACAATATTACTGTTTTTACTGTTTTTTTTATCAAATAAATGCAGCTTTGGGACAGAAAGAGAGAGAGAGAGAGAGATAAAAGATGCGTGTATGTGCATTTCTCTTTTTAGAGTGAGTTTACTTAAAAAACTGCGATTTTATCCTCTAGTTGCTGGAAAATATAATGTAGCAATTCAGTATTTAAACTGTTATTAATAAAAGTCATGGGGCAGCGTTGACAAGTTTATTTTCTCCTGAATGTGTGAGCTGAGCGATCTCCGATGTGTGTGTGTGTGTGTGTGTGTGTGTGTGTGTGTATCAGTAAGCAGCACATTACTTGAAGGAGTAGGTGGAGGGGAAGGGGAAGGGGTATAAAATAGAATTGGGATCGGGCCTTAATCTGTGGTCTTCTCTCTCTGTACTGTAGGTGAAATCTGTGGCTTTCACGTGCAGGGGCTCAGCGCTCCGTTCGAGGCTGTGGTTCTGAACCGCACGTCAGGAGAGGGCCGTCTGCGGGCGCGTGGACCGATCGACTGCGAGCGACAGAGAGAGTTCACCTTCATCATTCAAGCTCACGACTGTGGCACGGGACCGGAGGGACACGCAGAGAGGAGATCACACAAGTCAGTGTGTGTTTGAATAAATGCATGTTCTCCACCTCAGTCGGATTCATGTTTGTGACGTTTTGAACTGGAAGGAACACGGTGAACTATTTTTAAAATGATTCATCCGTGCTTGACTCACCTCTCTTGAGTTATTCACAGTTTCTTCTTTGAAGATTTTTATTTTCCTACTTTTAGAGGTTCCCTGTTTCTTGTGTCCTTAAAGTCACGCAGCTGCTAGTTGAAACTTTTTAAATAAAAAAGTTTGGCGTCTGTAATTTATATCTTTTGAGTAAGTCTCTTATGCTCACCGGCTGCATTTATTTGACTAAAAAATACAGTAAAAATAGTAATATTGTGAAACATTATTATAAATTCATAATAATGTTTAATGTTATTTGAATATATTTTAAAATGTAATTTATTTCTGTGATGCAGACCTGAATTTTCAGCATCATTACTCCAGTCTTCAGTGTCACATGATCCTTCAGAAATCATTCTAATATGCTGATATTCTGATTATTATCAATGTTGAAAACAGTTGCGCTGCTTAATATTTTTGTGGAAACCATGATACAATACTATAAAAAATTAATAGTTTTATTTAGCAAGGATGCATTAAATTGCTCAAAAGTGACAGTAAAGCATTTGTAATATTCCCCCCAAAAAATTCAAATAAATAATGATGTTTGAAAATATGAAGCAAAAACTGATTTCAAAAAGGATAATAAGACAACCATTATTAATAAATGAGTACCAATAATAACTGATAATAAATGAGCAAATCAGCATATCCGAGTGATTTCTGAAGGATCACGTGACACCGAAGAGTGGCGTAATGATGCTGAAAATTCAGCTTTGCATCACAGGGATAAATATATATTTTTAAATATATTAAAATAGAAAACAGTTATTTTAAATAGTAAAAATATTTCACAATTTTCCTGTATGGTGAGCATAAGAAACGTCTTCTTACATTAGTGTATATACAGTATTTCGTGTTTTTTTTTATCTCAGTACTGACTATTAGAAGCAGGTGTCTGACCTTCAGGCATTAAAAGCTTTTAAGAGCTCTTGCTAATGAACGCTGCACCTGTTTACCTGCAGACTGAAAGCTGCAAACAAACCCAGAGCCAAAGACGCTTCTCTTTACCTGCAGATCTCCACATAAAGACACTTTAACAGAGCTAATGCAGTGAGCTAGACTGAAGTCCTTTGAAACAAAATGACTTAAAGACATTTGTGAATGAGTGAGATACAAATGTGGTTAGTGATGAAACCGTGGCAAAAAAGAGAAAAGAGAAAGTGGGACCTTCCTCATTACTCTGTATCTCTTTAATCCATACAGGATTACTGTATCCGGCTTTGACAGCTCGGATCTATGATACTACACACACACACACACACACACATGCATGGATAAAGGATTAAAGTGAGACTCTAAAGGGCAGTAAAGCTGCAAAATCACACTGCTTTACTAGAGATTTCATGCCTAATGCATATATAAATGTGTTTGCATATGTTCTGGTTTTTAACATTATAACACAGATTAGCAGGGGTGTTTGAAATCCTCTCATTTGTCAGACGAGCTGTTGCCCTTTGCAAAGTATTACTCACGTTTCATGCTGTCTTTGACATTAATGATGCAATCTTGTTATTTTGGTATATTTTCAGCTCACAAAAGTGTGTCAAGACTGGCCATGAGGATACCTGGAGGCACTTTTTTTTCTTTCAGACCTTTTTTATATATATATTTCTCTCCCTGAAGACTTTATAATGACCTGCAGGAGAGAGAAATCACAAACGAGATCTCTTTAGTATGTTCGCTGCTTCTCCTGGACAGTGATGGAGAACGAACGGAAACTTTTGAAGCATTTTATTCTGGGAAAAAGACTCCTCTAAAGCAGTTCCTCTAAACACTAATTAGTTCAGATCTGGACCACTAATAATTTCTCATAGATTATTATAATTATAGACGCAAAAAACACAAGACCTGCAGCACAGGCGACTGCATTGGCAAATGCAAAGTCTGATTTAAATAGCATTTAGTCAAAATGACATGATTAAAAATCATCTCCTCTGGTCAGTTCTTTTAAAACACATGTTCATGATGGATTTGTTTCTTACAAGCATGCAGCTTCTCTGTTCATAAGAGGGTTATTGATGGACTGGAGTGGTGTGGATTATTGTGATGTTTTTATCAGCTGTTTGGACTCTCATTCTGACTGCACCCATTCACTGCTTTGGTCATCAAATGATGTAATGCTAAATTTCTCCAAATCTGTTCCAATGAAAAAACAAACTCATCTTCATCTTAGATGACCTGAGGGCGAGTAACTTTTCCCCATGAAGTCTCCTGGACAATGAAAAAGCAATAAAAAACCTCTCTTTCTTTCTCAGGGCTGTGGTGCATGTGCAGGTGGGAGATGTGAACGAGTTTTCCCCCGTGTTCGGTCAGTTGGAGTATCACGGCTCGGTGACAGAGGGCAAAGTGTATGACAGTATTCTGCAGGTGCAGGCATCAGACCAGGACTGCTCTCCACAATACAGCCAGATCTGCAACTACCAGATCACCTCTCAGGACACAGCCTTCGCTATAGACCGCAACGGTTAGTGCACAAACATACAAGGAAGACATGCTAACAGCACTATTCTGTCTGTATTTAAATGTGTGTTTGTGTGCAGGTCACATCAGGAACACAGAGAGCCTGAGCTTTGATAAGAAGTCACATTATAAAATCCGTGTGACGGCGTTCGACTGTGGTCAGAAGAGAGCGGCGCAGGACGCTGTCGTACACATCCACGTCAAGCCCATCTGCAAGCCTGGATGGCAGGGTGAGATCTGGAAATGTTTTAGTCTCGGACACATTTTGCGTGTGAAAATGGACAGGCTTCAGTGGTTCACCAGAGAGCAAAGTCATATTTACAAGTTACCAATTTGTGCACTTTCGAGGAAGCTAATGCACTAAATTCTTCAGTGTTTTCTGTGCACTCTCGTGAAAAAAGGTACAACGCTGTTAGTGGGCCAAAAGCTAAAGGTGCCTTATTTACTCATAAATGGTACATTTTAGTACTTTTAAAACATAATTGTACCTTTTTGTAAAATTGTACAGTTTTGTACCTTTTTTATGAGACTGTACAGCTGGACTGTTGTGAAGTTATTTTAATATGAGTTTTAAATAATTATCAGTGTTGTGTTGGTTTAGTTTATTTTTATACTATTATAGTATTTATTAATATATTTATTAGATACTTATTTTTATTATTTATTTCGTTTTTATTTATTTATTGTTTTATTATTTACTTATTTTATTCATAAATTATTAATTATTGTTTATTTTTTTATTTTCATATCGTTTTAGTCATTTTAGTAATGTAGCTTTTGTCACTTAATTTATATTTAATTTTAATTCCAGTAATTTAGTATTTCAGATAAAATTTATTTCAGTTAGCTACCAATGCAACATTTGTCATTTTCATGTATGTTCAATTTCCATGTAATAATTCTATTTTATTTGATTTCATCTTTAATTTATTTATAATAAACCTGGCCTGGCATTGTATAGTATGAATATTGTTGGCTCTTTGACATAAAAGTGTCAAAAAGGTGCTTTGGTTAAAATTGTATAAATGCAAATGTAATTTTGAATAGTTTTACTTTTACTTAACAATACCAACACTCTATTCATTCTATTATTATTTAAACTATTTCAGATAAATCTGCTCCTAAATTTGCATAGTTTAATAATAAACTTAATTCAGATTCAAATCTGTGAATCATCTGAATAAACAGATTCTCTGAAATGAATCAGACTTCCAAGCATTGCTGGATTACTAAAATGAGGAGAGTTAAGAAAGCGCCTCAGCTTGTAAGACTGTTTGCTCCATACAACGCAACATAAAAACTAGGACTTTTATTTAGTTACTCCCCAACACTAGTGTGCATGTTCTCTTGTTTCATTGATATAATGAATCAACATAATAAAACCTAGGTCAGTGTGGGAATTAGATGCATGTTCAATACTAAAATGCACAAAAAGGAGTAAACAATCAAAATACAGTTCTGGTGCAGTAATTCCAGACATTTCCTATGATCTGTGCATGACAGCTTCTCTGTCTAAAACCAGATTCAGCTGAGTGAGTTACACACACACACACACACACACACACACACATACGGGCCAGTTCTGTGCTCCCCAACACTAGTGTGCATGTTCTCTTGTTTCATTGATATAATGAATCAACATAATAAAACCTAGGTCAGTGTGGGAATTAGATGCATGTTCAATACTAAAATGCACAAAAAGGAGTAAACAATCAAAATACAGTTCTGGTACAGTAATTCCAGACATTTCCTATGATCTGTGCATGACAGCTTCTCTGTCTAAAACCAGATTCAGCTGAGTGAGTTACACACACACACACACACACACACACATACGGGCCAGTTCTGTGCTTTGAATTTCCTGTCACTTTCTGTCCATCTCTTTCTTTTCCCTTGAAGCTATTTTTGTTTGCTTTTAAACTCAATATAGTATTGACCCCCCTCCCGTCTCTCTGCATCTCTGTTTTTCCTGTAGGTTTGTGCTTTTTTCTTGCTTTTGATTGCCGCGGGAGGCTTGCATCAGAATTAACACACACACACACACACACACACACACACACACTTTCATATGATAGCCAGCATGATGCATTATGCGGTTCTTTGAAGGCTCTTGGTATCAGTTTTACTAGCTAAAGACGTGACGCATCTAAAGCAGAGTTGCTCAACTGGTTGCAAAAAAAAGGTCTGTTATGATTGCAGACAGAAAGGAAAAACAAAATAAAATAAAATAACATGCAACATGTAAATGGGAAAAGAAAATTCTTCCCCATTTATTATTTTGTTGATGTTGATATGCAGCCAATCAAACTTTATTTTAGCACAAATGTCCTCATCTTTGTAAACTGCATTTAAATAAAGTAATTGCTATTCTTTTCACTTTTTAGGTGAATTAAACTGGAAAAAAAGGTAACAACTGGTTTTATTCAAATAAAAAATATATATTATTTAGCATCACTGAATTAGCCTAAATACATTCATTTATACAAAAACTTTTCTTTTAAAGGGGTAATATGATGTTGCCAAAAAGAACATTATTTGTGTATTTGGTGTAATGAAATGTGTTTATGCGGTTTAAGGTTAAAAAAACACAATGTACATTATTGTTTCTCCTCTATGCCCCGCCTTTCTGAAACGCGTTGATTTTTACAAAACTCATCGGTCTGAAAAGCGAGGTGTGCTGTGATTAGCCAGCTATCTAGTGCGTTGTGATTGGCCGAATACCTCAAGCGTGTGACGGAAATGTTACGCCCCTTACCATACTGTGATGGCGTCTCCTGGCACGACCAGACAAAACCAATAAAACCCATTATAAACGAGGCATTTGTTGCATCCAGTGGGGACATAATTACGGATTATAATGACTTATACTGTCTTTTTACGCGTTGCGTTGCATCACGCCGTGTAAACATAAAACCATGTCTGCATTTGTGATCGGAGAAATGACAAACAACAAGCGCTACTCTACACTGCTCAAAACTCGCATTTGAATCATCAGTGGCAAATCCTTTAAATAAAAAACATACTTACAGTCTGTGAGTCAGAACAGCCGGCATTGTAGTCTACTCTACCAGGATCAGGAAACAGTCCTCCATAAAATG